CACCAAAAGAGAACACTTTTTAATTTTTTCTTTCCCTTTCTTTTTTTCTTAGTTTATTTATTTTTCAAATATCTTTTTTTTTCTTTTCTTCTCACTCTTTTTTCTCTACCTTTTTCATTCTTCATTTTTCTCTCTTTCCTATCACTTTTTCAGTCATTCCCTTTGTTTCTATTCTTTTTTCTTTACCCTCTTTCTTTCTCAATTTTATCCTTTCACCAATTTCTTGTCTTTCCTTTACCCCTTCTCTTTTTATTCTTTTCATCGTATTCCCTTTTTTACTTTTATCAACTTCCTTTCCATCCTTTCATCTTCTCAATTCTCTTTCTTTTCTTTCTTTTCCTTCGCTTTCCTTTCTTTTACTTTTTCTTCTTTCCTTATTCGCTTTTTGGCCCCATTTTAATAAAACTTATTTGACTCAAATATTTTCTTATTTCGAGTTTTTTTTTTTAATGCTTAATAAAAAAGAAAAATCCACCCTTTTCGCTCTAACAAAATAGTGGAAACAATTTCCCTCTTTTTTTTTTTTATCCGTTTTCTTTTCGAGTTTCTTTATTCTTCAAATTTCGGTATCCCTTTTCCCGCCTTTCTTTGCGCGTCTCCACTGGTATTCTAATTATCTCTCCTCTTCTTTTTTCTTTTTTCTTTTACTTTTTTTCATTAATCAACTAAATTTTTTCTTATTTTTTTTTTTTTCATTAATCATTCGCAAATGGATAAATTCGAGAGGCTGTCATCGCTTTTTTTTAAAATAAAAGCATCTTTTGCAAGACTTTTTTTTTTTTTTAATGCTCACTTAACCTAACAGAGACCCTCTGCCCGGCCATGCCTCGAGTTCACATCGAAATGTCGGCTTCCCCCATTCGCCGCCTTCTTGTAACGCGTCTCCACTGGTATCTAACTAAGTTAATCAACAAATGGATAAATCTTTTAAATAAAATAAAAGCATCTTTGCTCAGCCTTTTTTTTTTTTTGATAATAAAAAGAAAGAGGAGAAGAAAGATGACAAAGTCACGAAGTTCGGGCCAGCATTAAGGGGGGGGGGCTTTCCCCTTGAGACGCTCTGCGCGTGTGTATATGTTTTGGTCTGTTGCTAAGAAGATAAACAGGTGATGATGATGATGATGATGATGATGATGATGATGATGATGAAATTAATTCTGATAGAAACAATGTTTATAAAAAAGAACTTTATGAAAAAGAGGAACGTTGAATAATAATAATAATAATAATGTGGGTGGTGCATAATTACCAGGCGTTTCAGAAACAACATTCATTATGAAAAAAAGAAACATAACAATTCAACAATAACATTTTAAAATGATTATGATTATAGACATGCATTTTTATAACCTGAAAATAAAATAATATTTTTATTAAAAAATAAACAAAACAGAAATTTTTATAAACAAATAACTCGCTTACAAAAACGCCTGATAATTATGCACCAACCCAATAATAATAATAATAATAATAATAATTACGGAGATAGGACCTGTTACAATTCTATGGGATTACACAATACACACTGACAGAACAATCAAAGCCAACCCTTGATATTTGTTATTAAAGACCACAAACAAAAAAAGTGCCTTCTTATTGATATGGCAGTCCCTTCTGACTGCAATGTATCTTTGAAGATCTTCAAAAAATTGTCAAAATACAAGGACCTTGAAATAGAAATAGCGAAAATGTGGCATATGGGAACATCAACAATCCCTGTTGTAGTTGGAGCCCTAGGAGTGGTTGGAAAAGATTGCAGTAGACTAATTGAAGGGATTCCTGGAAGTCCATGCCTCAAGGAGATACCAAAAATTGTTCTGACAAGTACAGCCCACACTTTGCGAATGGCTTTATCTATGTAATTTTTTTTCTTTTTATGTCAGTGGAAAGTGTCATGATGCCATTTCTAACCTTAGGTCCCTGGGCTGGACCCGGAAAGAAATGTGTAAACGCCAGAAATCAAATAAAATAAAATAATAATAATAATAATAATAATAATAATAATAATAATAATAACAGTCAGAAATACCCGTGAAAATTTCACAGTTTTCCTATTTGAATTTTCTGATGTTCTTTCCTAAGTTAATGACTGAATGAGCTCAGTTAATTGAATAAGCTCATAGCAAGTTCTATGACAATAAAATATCTGTGAATATTCCCCTCTTGGCAGGCGTAACTGTCGTGTGAACTAACGAATGGCGGTTTAAGCATAATTATAATACATGGTGACTGAAAATTAACTCCCTATTTTATGCATGATGCAGTCTCCCGTCTTGTGATAAGTATAATTAAACGAGAGAGTCCATTATACGTAAAAATAGGGAGTTACTTTTCAATCACCCTGTATAATAATAATAATAATAATAATAATAATAATATGAAATTTCCCAATTCTCACAGACAGGGAAATTGATGCAAATAGACCAGATAGTCATAAAAGATTGCAAAAAGGTACCTGTCAACTAATTGATGTCTTGCCCACAGGATACCAATGTTTCTAAAACAAGAAATTTCAAAAAAATGTCAAATTATACGGAGCTGCAAATCGAAGTAACAAAAATGTGGAAACTTAAAGCTACGATTCTCCCTGTTGTGATAGGAGCATTGGGTTTTTGATAAAGAAGGGAACTGAAAATTATGTGAATAAAAATCCTGGACACATCAGCATCTCAGAAATATAAAAGATTACTTTGTACAGAACTGTACATATCATCCGCAAAAAACCTTCTCCATCGAAACGAAACGTCCTAAATATGCATAGATAACTCTCCCGAAGTGCCTTTTCTACTCATAGACCACGGAAGGAACTTGGTAATTAGGTATTTAAAATTACTCTTTGACAAGCTGATACCACGTACAATAATAATAATAATAATAATAATAATAGTAGTAGTAGTAATTTGAGTATTCGAGAGTTGTAAAAATTAAATAAATAAAATAAAAAAAATAAATAAATAATAAAAATCTTCCAGATATTGGATTGTGATTTGGAAAGAGACACAGTTCAAAAACTGTTTCTGCTAAAAAACCGTACCTGCTCAGTACAGCAAGGGTACTAAGAAATTTATTGGGTACACCTTTTCAATGAAAAGAACAAATGTTCACATTACGTTGAAAAACCGGTTCCTGTACGATCAACGAAGTTAAGCAACGTCGAGCGTGGTCAGTCCTTAGTTGGATGACTGTTTGGGAATACTAGGTGTTTGTAACCTTGGACGTGCGGGTGGTGTAATGGATAATCGTTCGGAATTGTTTATCAGAGTGCCAAGTTCCAATTCCCGTTGGATTCGTTATATTTACTTACGCGCAAACAAATACAGTTGGAAAGGTATGAATTTAATTCTTTTCCCCTAGCTATGGGTTAATTAACAAGATTTGTATCACTAAAACATTATTTTATCCAAAAAAATAAATCTTACAATCTAAAGATATTTTCTTTTCCCCCAGCTATAGGTTAATTAGTGAGACTTGTATCCCTAAACAATTATTATCTAAAAAAATCTTACAATCTAAAAATATTTTCTGGCTTTAAATCACTTTCAAAATGTTCATAAGGCGTAAAAAAATGAATCAATCAATCGAAAAAAAGAGAACAAATGAATGGTTTATTTTCTTATAATGGCGACCTAAAATAAACTTCTTACCAGCAACCAACGTCATATACTGCGCATGCTACTACAATTACTACTACTACTACTACTAATGATAATAATAATATTGATAAAAAATCAATATAATAATAAATTGTGAAATGTAGTGACAAGCATATTATGCAATTAAACTAAAGTATAAGTTAAAAAAGTAAAGTTAATGTCATAAGATGCACCATTGAAAGGCGGATGTTGACTGTCTTTATATTGCTAGAGGCAATGTTGGTAAGGTCCTTAATCCAGCTTGAGTTGACCTACAGAACAACTATCGATTTAAAAAAAATACTTAAAGACCACATCTGCAGAAATATTACACCTTAGCAACTGCTAACATTCACGAGAAAAGTAAAAAAAGATTTACTCATTTTATAAAGAAATCTATAAATGGGAAGAGAACTTCACTGTGAAAGAAATAGAAAAAAGTATCCAACAAATGCATTTAAAATCATAAAAGAAACGATGCTAAAACACAAAAGGTGAACACTATATAAAAAAAACAAACAACTGATAACTAAAACCCCTACATGACAAATATTCACGACGCCGATGTAGATAAACATTAAAAGCAGAAACAGAGGCATTTATAATGGCTGCACATAACCAAAGCCTATTCAACAGGAATTACTTAGTAAACATAATAAAATTGGTTTAGAATCAATATCTGAAGAACATGTTGAGACTATTGAACCCTTACTGTCTGGTTGTTCAATCCTGACGCCGAAGGAATACAAAGATTGATATGGTAAGATTGGGATGTATATTCATTAGAATATCTCACACGTCGCTATACCATCTTCACACACACACACATATATATATATATATATATATTTGGACACCGAGATCAACAGTCTGCTTAATGCTTGAATATTAATATATTGGTATGATGGTGCAATGAATCCGGAAAACAGTTTAAACATTTCCATGAATACGTCATAGTAACCCATGAAGTCACTGCGTTTTGACTTGATTGATTCGTTTTCTATGGCTTATGAACCATTTTCAGATTATTAAAAAGTCAGTAAAGATTTTTACATTGCAAGATTTTTTTTTCTTGGCGATAATAATGGTTTGATGATACAAATCTTAATAATTAACCCATAACTGGAGGGGAAAAGAAGTGGATTCATACCTTTCCGAAGGGTATTTGCGCATAAGTGAATATAATGAAGCCAACTGGAATTGGAACTCAGCTCTCCCTGATTAACATTTCCGAACTATTATCCATTACATTACCCGTACATTCAACTTACAGGACCTGGTATTCCCAAGCGGTCACCTATCTACGTACTGTCCAGGTTCGACGATGCTTAACTTTGATGATCGTACAGGAACTAGTGTTTCAATGTG